AATATTGCAGATTCGGGTTGAATTTCGGGATCAACAACCTCGCCGCGACATCATTTGATTGGTGGTGTAGCTGAAATTTCTTGTCTCTGATTGGCTACAATATTCATTTTACGTTGTTCGCTGCAATATTTGATTGGCTGCCAAAGAATCCGCAGAAAATGGACTACAATTTGAAACCGAGAACTTCCCAATCGGTCTGCCATTTCGACTTGTGTATATATATTTCTTTGGATAGTGTGTGTCGTCGACTCATCCGTCTCCATGTCGCTCCAGTTCAAACACCACAATAATATATATATATATTTATGTATATCTAGTCGGGGCAACTGTTTATTGAAACCGACGTCCCGGGGATGCTGGCGGCGTACAGCTTGGCCGTACATCACTACGGAAGCGTGCTCGTTCCAACAGTAAAACTGATCAAGCGCGACGTCGCCACAGTGCTAAAACTGGAAAAAGAACTCGCCACCCAACGTGTGCTCCACCGGCTGAGAGCGGTCGTCCCCCAGACGAAAGCGGTTCAAAGCAACATCCCTCCTCGATCTGCCAAGTGCCAGCAATGCCACCGATCACGGTGTTGGTTTCGTTCGCATCGAATCTGTGTCTTGTGTGGCGAGGTACGGTAGATACTCTATATACCAGTAGTAGTATATATATATATATATATATATATATATATTGTCCTTGGGCCTATATTACATGATTTCCCGAGCGGCTAGTTGGATCGTTTTAAAGTGGAACGAGTATTGTGCTTTTCAGCCAAATTTGCCGCCTGTTTTGGGGGATTGATGAAATCGCCAATTACTCGAACAAAGGAGTATGATTGGCTATAAAGAATGAAGGTTGAAATATGATTGGCTAAAAAGATTGATTGATACAAAGATACCAACTCGAATTTATATGAAATTTCCAAGGTCCAGCGATTGTTCGGCGGTTGATTCCAACCAACCACTGGAGAAAATTTTGAGTAGAATACACAAGACTACTTTTGACAAGCAAATGAAATGGGGTTTGGAGTACAGTAGTAGTGTAAAATTGTGTGCTTTTCACCCAAGTTAGCATTGCCGAGTCAAGTAGCGACTAGCGTTTGGCCGTATGCTGCCGATTTGGTGCATTCGATTTTCGAATCAAATGGCAATACAAGGATGAGACGAGTATATATATATGAATTTATATAAGTATATATATGAATTTATATATACCTATGAACTTATATGAATTTATTATACCTA